CCCCCCCCCCCGGCCTACAAAAAGTGAGGTTTTACCTTTTCCATCCTTTTCTTGGAAAGTTCTTTCCATTTCAAAAAGCGCTTTTACCAGTTTAGCAAGCGTCGATTGAGCTGGTTCAAGTTTCCTCGTCTCGCAACGATTCTTCGTTATGTGACGATTAAATTCGTCGACGTTCGTGCATTGCCGGATTTTTGTGCATCAAGCTAAGGTTGCTTCAAGACTCTATTTATTACTATCTCCGATTCAAGAAAAACAACAGCATCTAGTTTTGAATTGAAGGACTGAATTGAATGACTGCGTATAAAATCCAACTAACAACTGATTTGAAGTCTATTGAAACCAAGATGATATGTTTGCACATGTCAGTGGCACGTCATTCAATTTGTAAAGAGCAATAGTTTCAAGAGGATCCCATGTGGATTAAAAAAAATGTATGTCGTTTCTAGATTTTTCATTGGGAAAACTCCTGTCGGCATTTTAAGAAACGAGAAGGCGACGACAAAGGGAATGTAAAAACATATAAACAAACAAGCAACAGCAAACAAAGCCGGCTTCGCTTGAGCAAAAAACAAGGCAAAAACTCTGCGCATGGATCACACTTTTTTGTAAATTTCTTTGCCCATACGGCACAAGAGATTCGGTTAACCTCGGGTAAACGATAGAAATTTAAAACCAAAGCAAAAGAAATTTATAAAAGAATTAGGTTTCTGTGCTACTCTGGCGCATATGCATGAACAGCTGTTTATACTATATCGGATAGCTTCTCCCTTCGACTTGAAAGGCAATCCGGTTCAGTGTAAATCAAGCTATAACCTAGTGGTCTAAAACGCTCGGTCATCGCCAGAAAAGCGTGACCGTTGGGGGTCTGGGCACTACGAGGTTTCTCCTGGTGATGTGACTTTGTCATCAAACAACCGGCCATGATGAAGAAAACCAACAGGAGATTTGGAGTTTTTAAAGCTAAAGAACGTTTAAACCCGCTGTACTTCTTTTTTGGCAACCATTCCTTAACATTTATCTACTGAAAACTTGTTAGAACTTAAGATGTTTCGCTTGCATGATTCATGAAAAGCGCATTGACTTCATAGTTTTGGGCTGACTTGTTGATGTTTCATGAAAAAGTCAACTAGTACGACTTTAAACTCTAGGCTTAATTTATATGACTTCAAGCAGTGGATCTGGAGGAAAGTCTCCCAAAAAGCTTCGTGAAGTAGTCAATTCAAGCAAGGTAGGAAAAGTATCCATACTTCGTTTTACTGACCGAGCTTTGAATTGCTTTAAAAGAATTAATATTNATGATGAAGAAAACCAACAGGAGATTTGGAGTTTTTAAAGCTAAAGAACGTTTAAACCCGCTGTACTTCTTTTTTGGCAACCATTCCTTAACATTTATCTACTGAAAACTTGTTAGAACTTAAGATGTTTCGCTTGCATGATTCATGAAAAGCGCATTGACTTCATAGTTTTGGGCTGACTTGTTGATGTTTCATGAAAAAGTCAACTAGTACGACTTTAAACTCTAGGCTTAATTTATATGACTTCAAGCAGTGGATCTGGAGGAAAGTCTCCCAAAAAGCTTCGTGAAGTAGTCAATTCAAGCAAGGTAGGAAAAGTATCCATACTTCGTTTTACTGACCGAGCTTTGAATTGCTTTAAAAGAATTAATATTTTTTTGTTGCCGTTTGCATTGAAGCTAAAAAAGTTTATGTTGTGGTAAAAGGAAATATTGAATACAATGCAAGGCTGATCGGAAAGCTAAGAATGGTCAATACATCGCTTATTTTTATCCCGCCAGAGTGTCTTGGCAAGCGAAAGTATTCAGAGCTTATCATAGTGGTTAAAATTATATTCCAGGTTAAAATGTTTGAACCTACTAGGTTGAGTCTCAGTTTCCTTTTGTCTTCTAGCCCTTATTCATAAATAATTAGGGCTAGGAGACAAAGGAAATAGAAAATCAACCTAGTTTAAGAACTTTTAACCTGAATTTAATTTTGACCTGTAACATTTTACACCATAAATGTGAATTTTTCTAACATCTTTGTATGGTTTATGGGAGGGGTAGGACAGTTAATATGGGCTCAGATAGTTGTTGGGGTTTGACTTATTAAAGGGTGCTTATCAAGTCAGTACTGGTCGGCTGGACTAGTCAGCTTGGGGGCAGAATAAACCTTTATTCAAGGTTTTTTGCTGAAAATCCAACACTGTCGTGTGTAAGTTTTGTTTAGGAATATAATGATCAGGCCAGACAGTCTTTATAGTGGAATTCTCTTTTAGAGTGGACTGGCCTGGAAAACATGCTTTCAATGTTGCAAATCTCAGTTTCAGCAATTTTCATGCTAACTGACTGAAAACCAACCCAAAAAGGAGGTCCTCTTGGGAGGGGGTGGGGGTGGGGACGGTGGGGTACATATGTCCCTAGTCTGAATTTTAAACCTGTCGTTTCACATATTGAGGAGGAAGCCACGTTGCTGTTGGTATGTTACTATTGTATTTGTACTTTTCTTTGTTGCTGTCGCAGTTTCTACCCATCTTTGTGTCATTTTTTGCCATTTCTGTTGTCCTGTGTTGCTGTTTCAAGGCCATGTCGCTTGTCCACATTTTAGCCTAACAGGGCCTCAAAAAGGACCTTGTGCAATACTGTAACTAGATGAATAAAATAATACTTACAAATCAAGACTTACAGTAACCTTTGTTGAACTTTTCTTTTGTTTTTAGTATGAATGTATGGATGTCCCAGAAGAAATGAAAGCAAACTTGGAAAAGCTAAGGGCATTGTCAAAAGATGATTTAACAGAAAATGGACTGTTGCGTTCTCGTATTGATCAGCAGTGTGAACTTATATGCATTCTAAAGCAGCGTGCAGATGAATCTCTTAAAAGGTCCATGACACTGGAAGGTGAAAACACTGAAATTAAAAAACACAGGGATGAAATATTGACTGCTTTACACAATGAGACAAGAAAGTATTCTGTTTTGGAGAAGCGATTTGTTGTTCTAAATCAGAATCATGAGGAACTCATCAAAATCAAAGATGATTACAAAATAGAAAATGGAAAGCTGCGAATTGAAAATGACCGTCTCAAAAAGGAAAATGAAGACTTGTTTGGCAGCCTTGTGGCAGAACGTGACTTGCAGATCAAGCAACTTAGAGAGGAAGTGAAAACCTTCCAAGAGAAATACCAAGTTGCTACCACAAAAGAAAGGTTGGTAGGCAGTAACATCAATATAAATGTGGCTAGGAATAGAAGCAGATCTACTGTTTAGTATTTTAGAAACAATAATCTACCAATCAATCTACAGTCAAAGCTCTCCTTGCGACCACTCTAGTAAGTGACCAGCTCTAGTTATGACCACCTTTGTGAAACTGAACTGTGACTTAAACTTTGTAATGAAAAGCTCTTGCAAGTGACTGCTCTAGTTGGCGACTGTGACCACTTTTAGGGTTACCCGACCGGAATTTTCCTATGTTTGTAAGTTCTTGTAAGTGACCACTCAGAGTCTCAATCATACAAACCAACACTTGAATGAAACTGCACAGTGTGCTAATGGTTCATTGATAAAGATCTTGGGGTTATTTTGGTCTAACAAATTAGACGTAAAATTTAGCCGTGTCTATATTAGCTCAGCAAACATTACTTTCTTTTGTTTGTCTTTATGAATTATTAGTTTAAAAAATAATATGACTCTATGGGGTAGTTCGACAATTGCATGAGTCTGTGATGGAGGTCAGTGAATGCCCATTTTGACAGCTGTTAATAAATTGAATTGATATGCCCCAGGTTGAATATATAAATCTAAGTTATTGACAAATGTCACATTTTGCTCTCGCACAATTGAATTTAACTTAACCATGAGACTTACATTATTTTTTTTTTCTTTGTCATTTTATTTGTTTGTTTGTTTGTTTGTTTGTTTGTTGTTTAATTGCCTTAGTAATGCAACTTCGATTTTCCTTGATTGTTTAGAGCCTCAGTACTGGGAAAACTGTATGTGCTTATTTTTCTTACAATTAGTCCTATTTTCATCACTTTCACTGAGTTAAAATCAGAATGTCATCATGACAGAAAGAATTGTTTTGTCTGTTAGTCAAGAATTAGCTTTATTTAGTTCATTAATAGATGATGTATGTCTCCTCTAATTAGGGTGGCTCTGGAACATCTCTCGTCTCTTGAGAAGAAGTACCATGAGCAGGCTAATAAGCTTCAGAAAGAAATTGCAAATTTGCAGAAAAATGCAGAAGGTTAGTTATAAATTAACATGATTGTCACCATATTGGTTTAATTTCCACAACCTTTGTCTTACCTTTTTCCCCATGACTGTGTACATCTGGGTGGAGAGCATAACCTAATGGAGTAAACTTTCTTGCTTAGCAAAACAATGTGACAGCAAGGCTTAACCACAGCAGGATTAATAGCTCAGTGGGTATAGCCTGTTCCAGGCTCCGAGATAGTCGGGCTGGCAGAATTGAGAAAGCGCGAATAAGAAAAAAAAATAGGAGGAAACTTTTCCTTTTTTTCCCGCCCCGCCCCCATTTTCGCACGCCCTACACTCTCGCATCTTCCCCACTATCTGTGAACCTGGAACAGGCTGAATGGGTAAAGCTCTTGACTGCAAAGCGGGATGTCATGGGTCCGATCTTCAGAGCTGAACCAATACTGGGTCTTAAAGGTGATGTTACACAAAACAATTCGCAACAACGATTTTTAGCACAACACAGCATTGCATCATTGTTGTAACGTTGTTTCAAATTGTTACAACATTGTTCCAACATTGCAATGCCGTATTGCGCTAAAAATCGTTGTCGCTAATTGTCCTGTGTAACATCACCTTAAATTAATAACTGAGAAATGAAGGTACTGCCTTTGCCCTACAAATGGCTAGCCCTCTCCAGATCTGGGTAGTGACATGTCATCAGTATGGAATTTCTGCACTCGTTTCTCAAACATCGTTTTGTGGGGAAACAAGGTGTCCCTTGTAGAAATTAAGTATACTTTAAGTATACTTCAAGTATACTTTATATGTACTTCTCAGAAAAAAAGTACATTTGAAGTATACCTCGTTTGTACTTCCAGAAAAAAAGTATAAATGAAGTATATTTGGCAAATGTACTTCATTTATACTTCAAATACTTAAGTATACTTTAAGTATACTTCTTCAAACTTCAGTGCTTGTGAAAAATAGTTTCGCAAAGAAAAGTGTACTTTAAGTATACTTTGAAACTTAAAGACACATTCTGATCTGAGGATCTAAGAAGGTTTGTCCGGATCTTGAAATCACTACAAGACAAAAGTATACTAAAAGTATGTTTTAAGTATAATTTAACTTCAAAATACTATTCAGATCAAATCAGTTTTCTTCTATTAAGGACACAGTTGAGATCATGTAAAGATTTCTTCCGAGTGGTGAAGTATATAACAGGTTTCTAGATACACAGGGCACACATTAGCTGTTCAGTCGACTTCCTTCGTAAGAAGATCATCCGCCGATCCCTGGGCGAAATGGCAAAGTCGCACAGTTTCATTCTGGTCATTTCTTTAACGTCTTTCGTGGAATTTTTGTAAGGCCCGTGTCGTTTTACCTCCTTTTTTACGAGGACCTTAAGAAATAGAACGAGAACTCGAAGCAAAACCATTGCTCATCGTCGGACATCTTTACGTTCGAGGAAAGAAATGCATATATGAAGGTGTTGAATTACCGCTGACTTCCAGTACCGTCGCAAAATATACGGGATCTTGTGGATTTCCTAATACGGTCATGTATGAATCATTTACAGCATACCTAACTTCCATATATGGTTTTGGCGGGCGATACAGTTTCGAAGGAACGTTCGTTGAGCTTTGCAGAGAGTGTCTTCAAGATATTTATACTCTTGGAATATTGCCTTTAATTTATCTTCACAATTCGAGCACAATATGAGTGGAACTTGAAAAGAAAACAAAAGAAGTACACCATGACTGAATTTTGACGATACAAGTAAGTTTTGGGGTGAAAAATGTATCGGTTCCAGTCGTTTCAATATATATCGATTCTTCTTTGCAAATGACACACGAGTTGAGCCTTAAGGTTTACAAAGTAAAAGCTTGTTTACTTCGCCTAATGTGCAGTGTAAATTCAAAATATAAAACCCAAGTCTTGTTTTCGTTAGATCGCATTTCGTTCCAGTTTTTGTACGTAATAGGTAGACATATTTCTTTAATAAGGTAATGGCACAATTTACTTTGTGGCCAAAGAGTACAGATCTAATCATTCTTGTCTATTAAACATTTACTAAAATTAAGAAGAATATTGTGTGATGGTTCTAAGCAATAATTATTAAGTACAAGTGAGTTAAAGAAAGTTCAGAAAGAAACCTGTTAATATACATGCACCTTCCTTGAAATGTTCTCATTGCCAATGAAAATTTTACTAAAATCAAGAAGAATAATATATTATGGTAATCAAATGCAGTGAGTTCCTTTGATAAGAATAGAAAATGTATATTTTTATGTTGTGGAAACCTATTCCAACAAGATTTGCTATATATTTTTTTATGTTTTCTTAGTACATTTGTATTGCTTTTTTTGTTATATCAATAAATGATTTTACAATATAATTGATCCCAGTCTGACGTGTCTCAGTGATTGATAAACATATTGCATTGAGTATACTTTAAGTATATTTTAAGTATACTTGAAGTATACTTCCCATTAAGTATACTTCAAGTATACTTTCATTTAAGTATACTTTAAGTATACTTTTTAGGTGTCGAAAAGTTGTGTACTTAAAGTATACTTCTGGTAAGTATACTTAAAGTATACTTTAAGTACAAATGAAGTATACTTTTTAAAGTGTTTATCACCTATATAAAGTATACTTTAAATGTACTGAATTTCTACAAGGGAAGTATACTTTAAATGTACTGAATTTCTACAAGGGGTGGCATCGCAAAATGTTGGCTGTTTTGTCTGACGAGACCGTCTTTCATGTGGCTCATATGACCATGTAAAACGGCAGTCCTGTCTCCAGTAGTAAACATAAAAATAGTATCCTCAATTAGTACTTTTGTGCTAAATACATTGACAGTTAAAAAAATGTTTTTTTATTACATTTTCTCTAACAATATTGTGCTAAAACATTTTGCTCATTACCCAGCACTATTGGTCATCTCGTCACTTTTTAAATTCTCAATGCTATCACATTTTAGTTTGGCACTTAACTAGTATTAGTGGTATTAGACACTCAAAGTGTATTTCCCCTTTTTTTTCTAAACCCGGACCTACAGATTCAAACTTCAAGGCACGAACTGTTCAGCCACCATGCTTCCTTATCAAGCATGCAAAAATATGGATGTTTAAGAAATAAGAACCTGCAAAACTTAAGCCTTCCGCACAAAAAATTATTTTGGCTTGTCACGCAATCCAATGCATTACGAAGCCCAAGGACGTCTGCATGGGAGGATAGTAGCCTGGGGCCAGGCTCTGCAGTTTAATGCTTTTTTATGCTGCTTCACTCAGTTTTTCTCCACACAGCAGAACCTAGTCCAATGCTAGGAGGCTAGCAAAAACTTCAGAGTTACATGTTACTCATTTAGGTCCGTGTTCAAAAATGCTGACAATTAAGAGGAGTGTTTTTGTCCCGATGCTTGAAAGTATGAACGTACAAATGATTTATTTGTTGCGTTTTACTCACAGAGCAGCATAAGCAAGCAGAAGAGAAGTACAGAATGTCTACTTCTGAAAAAGAAGAAAATAAAGCCAAAGAACTGGCACTGAAGAAGGAAAGAGATGAGTTTGCAACTCTTGCATTGGAAAGGGGAAAAGCTCTTGAAGTAAGTCAAGTCAGTTGTTATGCTTTTGAGAAGAAGCTGCACTTTGGTGCACAAGACTGTATGGTGTGCGCCAATAATGTAATTAGCTAATACTATTAATGGAAAATCTCGTTTGCTTTACAGGCTAGAAAAAAAAAAATTAGAACTCTATATTAACTCAATAATGCACCAGTAAGAATAATATTTTTACTTCTTTTTATGAATTGTCCAGTGACTTGGTTTCAGTTTCAGTTCATTGATTTGCCGGTAAAAAAAGTACAGTCATTCAATACATTGCAAAATAATAGTTAAACCGTAGGGGCTTATTACTGTGATCTCCCTCCGTAGCTTAAGACTATAAGGGACACAGGTAGGCTACTGTTTTGGGTGATGATTTATGAACACAAGAGTGGTGCTAAGAGAAGAGACAAGAGAGCGCTGCCTTCTAATTCTGAATCTCGAGTATACTCATTACTCCAATATGTGAGTGGAACAAGTTTCTTATTCAGTCAGCTTTAAAAGTGCAATGATTTGCCCTCGCTCTGGACACGTGCTAGCCTGTTCCAGGCTCTCAGATAGTGGGGAAGACGCGAAAGAAAAAGGCACGCGAAAAGTTGCCCAGTTTCCTCCCGTTTACTTTCCTCTTCGCTCTTTCTCAATTCAGCGGGCCGAACTATCTCGGAGCCTGGAACAGGCTAGACACGTGCTAAATGAGAATCCATCCAATCCCAGGATGCTCATTTTCACAAATATCTGTAAAACTGTATATGTTCTTCATACGTTGCAGGAAAAGCAAAGAGAAATCAAAGAACTTTGCCGTAAACTAGAAGAAGCTGAAAAATCTCTAAAAGAAACGGAGGATAAATTTGTGTAAGTGTTATTATTCTTGCTTGTGACGAAAATTATGTTAAGGAGTACAAAAAAAGAAACAATGAAACATCCCGTTTTCCCCTATGTAGATACTGAACAAGATAACCAAGAAACATGTAACAATCATAAGGCTCTTGATAAAATTTGTTAAATATATATGTGTCAGATCAAAAAATAGAAGCGACTTTCCCCTTTCTCTCTTTTCCCTTCCATTACTTCTCGCCTACAATCTGCGCTCTTTCCCGTCATCCTTCACCCGCACTTCTCTCTAGTCTCCAGCAACCCTCTTTAAAATCAGTGCTCCCCGCCAAGCCCTGGGTAACTGCCATGGAGAGGGCAGAGAATGATGTAGTAGAGTAACTTTTCGAAACTTTTCGGTATTTCTTTTCTCCATAGGTGGTGCTGAAACCGGGCGTAGCAAGTAATCCTTGCATTGCTGAGCAGCAAAGCCGCGATAAAAATAAAAACCACGTCCCCTTGCCCACCTTAACTTGTTTGCGCGCTCGACAAAACTGCCATGTGACGCAGGCTAATCTTTGTGTGTTTGTTTGACACCGTGTCATCTTTAAATTTCTGCAGGTCTGAACTTCAAAACATGTCAGTAAATGCTCAGGTTTTAAGATTAAAGAAGCGATTAGAAGATGCTGAGCGAAAACAAAAAGAAAGTGAAAAGGTACTTTTACATTTAGTGACTCGTACCAAAGCGGACACTTTAACAAGGAAAAGTGCCACAGGTCTACTTCATAGGGGATAGTAGCCTGCATGGCAGGCGCAAAAAGGGGAAGGGGAGGGGGGAAGGAGAAAGGGAAAAGGGAAGGGAGCTCCTCTCCCCAATCCGCCTCCCATTTTTACCTTCCTCCCTATCCCCTACCCCCTACCCCTTTCGACGCCTGCCACGCAGGCTAAGGGGATAGAATCCTGCGCGCAGAAACTGTGTGTCCTTGCTAGCCTATTTAACGTCTGTTATGCAGGCTTTATACTTGCTCTGAGTAAGATTTATTTTGGATAGTCACAGTCGCTGAAATAGGGTTTCGTCCCGGACTCAAAAGCCTCTAAGCTTGGAGCCTCCTTCTATAGCATATTACTAACGGCGCTACACGAAAGTACTGCTCAGTAGCTTTTTATTGATTGATAACCNAGGGGGGGGGGGAGGGGGGAGGGAGAAAGGGAAAAGGGAAGGGAGCTCCTCTCCCCAATCCTCCTCCCATTTTTCCCTTCCTCCCTATCCCCTACCCCCTACCCCTTTCGACGCCTGCTACGCAGGCTAAGGGGATAGAATCCAGCGCGAAGAAACTGTGTGTCCTTGCTCGACTAATTAACGTCTGTTATGCAGGCTTTATACTTGCTCTCAGTAAGCTTTATTTTGGATAGTCACAGTCGCTGAAATAGGGTTTCGTCCCGGACTCAAAAGCCTCTAAGCTTGGAGCCTCCTTCTATAGCATATTACTAACGGCGCTACACGAAAGTACTGCTCAGTAGCTTTTTATTGATTGATAACCATAGTTCAGGATTTCATAAACAGACTTGAAAGTTATACAGCATTATAAACAGTACCACCAGAAAGACATAACTGCTTAGTACGTATCCATTTAAAATGGCCACACCATAGCATTTTGGCGACATCCACGGATAGCGAACTATCTCGTATTATAAACAGTAGGTGGTACCAAGGACTTAAAACACCTTCATCTAGCCTACTTAACATTACCATAGGAAATTAAGTACTACTTAATAACCTTCATTCAAATGCTCACACTTTAGGGTTTTCTCCACAGACCAAAAAGTGGTTAGGCTGCGCGCAAGTTTCCTCTTGCTTGGCTATCGTAAACTTTCAGCAAAAAGATTTTACGTCTAACATGTAATGATGCCCCGCTGCTCGACTCTAAAGGAGCATTGTACAGTACGGAATCATACTTATCCTCTGCGTTTTTTTTTTTTACAGGAATATGATGCTTACAAGAGGCACATGTCGACCTTGCTGGGAAAAGAGAAAGAACTGAATAATAAACTCCGAATTTTGATTGGTTAAAGAGCATGGACATTACAATTCCCTTAACCTCCTGTTTTATCAGCGTCAGAGTGGCCCGACGTTGCAAAAAAGTGCGCAGCTCAGGACTTGGAACTTCAAAAAGAAAAGTTTTATCAATATAAGATTTATATGATTATTTTGTTCCTTCACAGTCATAGATTGAAATTGAGTACAAACTTTGATGCAAGCAGTATAATAAAAATTCCAAATTTGTGAGTGTTATGGAGTCTTTCTTATAACGTAAATCTGTTGCTCCTCGTTAAAAGTTTCGCAAAATCATCGATGGCAGTTGCGTATGGAGCAGGGAATTAATCACTAGCATATTAATGGCTAATATAAAGCAAAGTATCAAATGCTAATCTCGTATTTGGCGTATGGTCTAACTTAATATTTTATTTGGGTGTAACAACTGAATTAAAGAAGCTGATTTTGAACTCCATTCTCGAGAGATCAGAAGTGGAAAAAGTAACGAATCTCTGGCTTTTAAATACCTAAAAATTTCTACTAGCGTTTTCTAAATATCTACCTTTCAGAAGCAACTGGCAGTATTTCTTTATAACTCGATAACGCCAAACGAAATTGTCGGCCTTTATGGCCGTGGTTACCTAATAAACGACTGGCCCCGGTTGTTCAAAAGTTGGATAGCGCTATCCACTGGATAAATCACTATCCAGTGGATAAGTACGAGGGATATCGATTGCGCTATCCACTGGATAGAAATTTATCCAGTGGATAGTGTTATCCATCTTTTGAACAACTGGTCCCTGGTTTGTCCCTAGTACTAGGATTCCGGGACTAGGATCTTCCTAGCGAAAGCAGTTACATGGTGCTAGGATCTTCCTAGCCTGTTCCAGGGTCCGCCGAATTGAGAAAGCGCAGCAAGCGTGCCTTTTTCTTTCGCGTCTTCCCCACTATCTGAGAGCCTGGAACAGGCTATAGGATCTTCCTAGTATTAGGATATTACTACCTCTCAGCCAGAGGGATCCTAGCACTAGGACATTTTTAGTGCTGGGGACAAATACAAACCTTTGCATGTAAACTGAATAAGGATGATCCGCCTTCTAGGATCTTCCTTCCTCCAGGTAAACAGCCACCTTAGCCTGTTCCAGGAGAGTGGCGCGAAATGGAGAGCGGACGACAGAGAAAGAGGGACTACCCCCACCCCCTCGCTGCGTTCCGATGCTCACCTTTGCGCCGTACTATCAAGAGACTATAAAGGGGACAGAGAGGACATCGCCCATACACACCCTATTCCATAGGTAATTCGTCTCGAGTTATTTTTAGAATCGGGATAAAGTTACCTCGCGCGAGGCGTGGATGTTTCGTGGAGGTAAGCAGTGGATCTGGAGGAAAGTCTCCCAAAAAGCTTCGTGAAGTAGTCAATTCAAGCAAGGTAGGAAAAGTATCCATACTTCGTTTTACTGACCGAGCTTTGAATTGCTTTAAAAGAATTAATATTTTTTGTTGCCGTTTGCATTGAAGCTAAAATGTTTATGCTGTGGTAAAAGAAAATATTGAATACAATGCAAGGCTGATCGGAAAGCTAAGAATGGTCAATATATCGCTTATTTTTGTCCCGCCAGAGTGTCTTGGCAAGCAAAAGTTTTCAGAGCTTATCATAGTGGTAAAATTATATTTCAGGTTAAAATTTTTGAACCTACTAGGTTGAGTCTCAGTTTCCTTTGTCTTCTAGACCTTATTCATAAATAATTAGGGATAGGAGACAAAGGAAATAGAAAATCAACCTAGTTTAAGAACTTTTAACCTGAATTTAATTTTGACCTGTGACATTTTACACCATAAATGTGAATTTTTGTAACATCTTTGTACCGTTCATGGAAGGGGTAGGACAGTTAATATGGGCTCAGATAGTTGTTGGGGTTTGACTTATTAAAGGGTGCTTATCAAGTCAGAACTGGTCGGCCGGACTAGTCAGCTTGTGAGCAAAATAAACTTTTATTCAAGGTTTTTTGCTTAAAATCCAACACTGTCGTGTGTAAGTTTCGTTTAGGAATATAATGGTCAGGCCAGACAGTCTTTATAGTGGAATTCTCTTTTAGAGTGGAATAGCTTGGAAAACATGCTTTCAATGTTGCAAATCTCAGCTTCAGCAATTTTCATGCTAGCTGACTGAAAACCAGCCCAACAAGGAGACTTTCTTGGGAGGGCGTAAGGGTGGGGACGGTGGGGTACATATGTCCCTAGTCTGAATTTTACCCTGTTGTTTCACATATTGAGGAGGAAACCATGCTGCTTTCAGTATTTTACTATTGTATTTGTACTTTTCTTTGTTGCTGTCGCTTGTTCACCCATCTTTGTGTCATTTTTTCCCATTTCTGCTGTCCTGTGTTGCTATTTCAAGGCCATGTCATTTGTCCAAATTTTAGCCTAACAGGGCCTCAAAAAGGACCTTGTGCAATACTGTAACTAGACGAATAAAATAATACTTACAGATCAAGACTTACCCTTTTTTGAACTTTTGTTTTGTTTTAGTATGAATGTATGGATGTCCCAGAAGAAATGAAAGCAAACTTGGAAAAACTAAGGGCTTTGTCAAAAGATGATTTAACAGAAAATGGACTGTTGCGTTCCCGCATTGATCAGCAGTGTGAACTTATTTGCATTCTAAAGCAGCGTGCAGATGAATCTCTTAAAAGGTCCATGACACTGGAAGGTGAAAACAGTGAAATTAAAAAACACAGGGATGAAATATTGACTGCTTTACACAATGAGACAAGAAAGTATTCTGTTTTGGAGAAGCGATTTGTTGTTCTAAATCAGAACCATGAGGAACTCATCAAAATCAAAGATGATTACAAAATAGAAAATGGAAAGCTGCGAATTGAAAATGAACGTCTCAAAAAGGAAAATGAAGACTTGTTTGGCAGCCTTGTGGCAGAACGTGACTTGCAGATCAAGCAACTCAGAGAGGAAGTAAAAACCTTCCAAGAGAAATACCAAGTTGCTACCACAAAAGAAAGGTTTGTAGGCAGTAACATCGATATAAATGTGGCTGGGAATAGAAGCAGATCTACTGTTCAGTATTTTAGAAACAATAATCTACCAAACAATCTACAGTCAAAGCTCTCCTAGCGACCACTCTAGTAAGTGACCAGCTCTAGTTATGACCACCTTTGTGAAACTGAACTGTGACTTAAACTTTGTATGAAAAGCTCTTGTAAGTGACCGCTCTAGTTGGCGACTGTGACCACTTTTAGGGTTACCCAACTGGAATTTTCCTATGTTTGTAAGTTCTTGTAAGTGACCACTCAGAGTCTCATTCATACAAACCAACACTCGAATGAAACTGCCAGTGTGCTAATAGTTCATTGATAAAGATCTTGGGGTTATTTTGGTCTAACAAATTAGATATAAAATTTAGCCGTGTCTATATTAGCTTAAGACACTCAGTAAACATTACTTTCTTTTGTTTGTCTTTATGAATTATTAGTTTAAAAAAATAATATGACTCTATGGGGTAGCTCGCATGCATGAGTCTGTGATGTAGGTCAGTGAATGCCCATTTTGACAGCTGTTAATAAATTGATATGCCCCAGGTTGAATTTATAAAATAATCTAAGTTATTGACAAATGTCACATTTTGCTCTCGCAAAATTGAATTTAACTTAACCATGAGGCTTACATTATTTTTTTTTGTCTTTGTCATTTTATTTGTTTGTTTGTTGTTTAATTGCCCTCTGCAACTTCAATTTTCCTTCATTGTTTAGAGCCTCAGTACTGGGAAAAATGTATGTGCTTATTTTTCTTACAGCTAGTCCTATTTTCATCACTTTCACTGAGTTAAAATCAGAATGTCATTCATGACAGAAAGAATTATTTTGTCTGTTAGTCAAGAATTAGCTTTATTTAGTTCATTAATAGATGATGTATGTCTCCTCTAATTAGGGTGGCTCTGGAACATCTCTCGTCTCTTGAGAAGAAGTACCATGAGCAGGCTAATAAGCTTCAGAAAGAAATTGCAAATTTGCAGAAAAATGCAGAAGGTTAGTTATAAATTAACATGATTGTCACCATATTGGTTTAATTTCCTCAACCTTTGTCTTATCTTTTTGCCCATGACTGTATACATCTGGGTGGAGAGCATAACCTAGTGGAGTAAAGTTTCTTGCTTAGCAAAACAATGTGACAGCAAAACTGAACCGCAGCAGGATTAATAGCTCAGTGGGTAAATCTCTTGACTGCAAAGCGGGATGTCATGGGTCTGATTTTCAGAGCTGAACCAATACCGGTTCTTAAAGGTGATGTTACACAATATTGAAGACAATTCGCAAAAACGATTTTTAGTGGAACACAGCGTTGCATCATTGTTGTAACGTTGTTTCAAATTGTTACAACATTGTTCCAACATTGCAACGCTGTATTGCGCTAAAAATCGTCGTTGCTAATTGTCCTGTGTAACATCACCTTAAATTAATAACTGAGAAATGAAGGTACTGCCTTTGCCCTACAAATGGCTAGTCCTCTCCAGATCTGGGTAGTGACATGTCATCAGTATGGAATTTCTGCACTCGTTTCTCAAACATCATTTTGTGGGGAAACAAGGTGTGGCGTTGCAAAATGTTGGCTGTTTTGTCTGACGAGACCGTCTTTCATGTGGCTCATATGACCATGTAAAACGGCAGTCCTGTCTCCAGTAGTAAACATAAAAATAGTATCCTCAATTAGTACTTTTGTGCTAAATACATTGACAGTTAAAAAATGTTTTTTTATTACATTTTCTCTAACAATATTGTCCTAAAACATTTTGCTCATTACCCAGCACTATTGGTCATCTCGTCACTTTTTAAATTCTCAATGCTATCGCATTTTAGTTTGGCACTTAAATAACCTATGTAAGATGGTAATTGCATCAAAGTATTAGACACTCAATTAAAGTGTATTTTCCCCTTTTTTTTCTAAACCCAGACCTACAGATCCAAACTTCAAGGCACGAACTGTTCAGCCACCATGCTTCCTTATCAAGCATGCAAAAATATGGA